TTGATCTGGTTCAGCATCTTGATACTGGTTCTGTTCATATGCTGCTTGTGGATTACTCCCTTCTGGACCTGGTTCAGCATTTTGATACTGGTTCTGTTCTGCTTGTGAATCCTCAAAATTCTCGGCATCATTCCACCCATAGGTATTACTTTCAGTTTCATATTCAACGACCTGGTTTTGATAATTCAACCTATGAGCTTCCTGACTATTCTGAACACTTGCAAAATTATTTTTATCCTTTTCATGATTCTGTGAAGGTCTAGTATCCTGCGAGCTGATAAGCACAACAGAATGGGACATTGACCGGTGATGAGCAAGAAGTGCAAATGTTAGAATGACCAATATGAATAGTATCAAAACTTTGAATTTGTGGCGGCGAATGACAAACTTGTGTCCACGTTTCAGCTCTCCTCTGCTGGTAGTTCCATTTGGCGCCATGAAGGTAAATGATAAAGGGATCCACTCAGCCAATAACTGCAGGTTAAAAAATATAAAACTTGAATATCATGTAACATAATTAATAAATAAAAAGTAATTTTGAACATGTCAGTCACAACAAATATGGATCCAGAACTGCATTTATTAAAACAAAGTGAATCGAAACTGAAAAGCAAAATGACATGCATCAAAGTCTGATAATGCACAATGCATGACCCAAGTTTGAACAAAATCTGACCATACATGATTGAGATCCGGCCCCAGAATTGCAGAAATGCTCAATTTAGATGATTTGTCAACATAATAATGGTCACCATTCAGCCATCTAGATTCGGATCATAAATATCAATATAAAATAAATATCATATGTGATATTTACAACAATGACAATTATTTTTGCTTTGGTGATTGGACACTACAATTTTTAGTGCAGACTAGTTTCAGTGCTTCACAATTTCAGGATTTCATTTTAATAACTGATGTCTAATGGTGATAGCAATGATCAGTGGAAGGTGTTCTGCATACAATATACAATGTTGGAATGAAACTTTAACGATGAGATTACAAATGTACACTTTCTATGTGCATGTTTTAATTCTCCTAGCTCATCAAAAACATCATTAAGTATGACATAGTTCCATCAATAATTTAAGCTGTGCCTTGATTTTTAAAAATCAGAGGGCGGTGGTCTTCCAGATGCACGTGTTCGAATTTCATGTAAACAATGTATTTAACACGCATTGTGTATGTCGCTATAAGTTTCATATCAAACAGGACGCAGCGTACAAGTAAGGGTTTGAAACAATAACATTGAAACAGGTGAAAACACAGGCAGCCAGCCGTCTGTCTGCCTGTCACTTTAGACAAGCACATATTTTAGACAGACACAAAATCTCATTTGACAGACAAAATCTTTACAAATCTAACCATTTTTGATTGAAAATTTCCTGTGAATTACAAAATAACCGGAAATAATCAACAAAATTTAGACTATAAGTCTATAGCTACAAAGTAGCAACTGCTATTTTTCATTTTGATAAAGTTTTTGGACAGACACTATCAATTTTCTGGCGATAACCCTGCATGGATATGATAAAAAAACAAGCCATGCATGGCGCAGCTCCTGTTAGTTATCAAATTTAAGATATAGTTTTGTTTATAGTTACTGTAATAGAGTTGGAACATAAACATGTCAGAAGTATAGATCCAGAAGATGATGCTTGAAGTTGATTATGATGATTTTTTAACATTAAATTGATTGACATCTTGTATCGGATCGTCAAACGAGTACTTGTCCATAATGAGAAATATTGCTCTGGAACAGCATTAATTAAAACAAATGGCCACCAGTGGGCCATTTTGAATACATCTATATATCTATAACATGATGTAAAATGAATATATAAAATTTGAGCATAATCAGTCAAAGAATATCAGAGATATGGCTCTAGAAGCGCAATCATTTAAACAAAATGGCCGCCAGTCAACCATTTTGAATCTGATCTGAAAAATAAAATTACGTGCATCAGGAACACAAAATCTTTAATGTATGTCCAAGTTTGAACGAAATCCATCCATAAACGCCGAGATCCAGTTCTGGAATGCCAGAAATACCTAATTTTTGGTGATTTTTTAGCATAATCAGACAAAGCATTGCGGAGATATGGCACTAGAGCTGCATTCATTAAAACAAAATGGTCACCGGTCGGCCATTTTAAATTGGATATGAAAAATAAAATGATGTGCATCAAAGTCCCATAATGTCCAATGTATGTACCAAGTTTGAACAAACATCCATCCATAAACGCCAAGATCCAGTTCTGGAATGCCAGAAATGCTTGATTTTTGATAATTTTCTAGCACAAAAACAGCTGCCATTTGGTCATTTTGAATCAGATAGTCAAACCAATATATTTAAGTCATGATGTATAATGAATATATAAAATTTTATCATAATCAGTCAAAGCATGGCAGAGATATGGCACTAGAACTGCGTTCATTAAAACAAAATGGCCGCCAGTCAGCCATTTCAAATTGGATCTGAAAAATAAAATGATGTGCATCAAGTCCCATAATGTCCAACAAATGTACCAAGTTTGAACAACATTCAACCATTTTGAATCAGATCGTGAAACAAATTGATGTGCATATGTTTAATAATAATAAGTATGATGTATGTGTGAAGTTTGATTATGATTGGTCAAGGCATGTCTAAGATACAGGTCCGGACGCACGCACACACAAAGGTCAAAACATAAATCATTTTTGGACTGATTATTTTCATTTATACATCAAGTAGATTAGAAAACCTATGTACAAACAATCCATGTGACGTCAATACATTTATAAATGTATCAAATTTTGTTCAGTTTCAATCACAAGAAAATGAAGGATAATTGGTTTGATTGGGGCAGTGCCACTCAGTAAAGAGCTCTGTACTGCATGTGCATTAATAGGACAGACTAGAACGATACAAACATCACTTTGCCACTTCATAGTGATCTACTGTACTGTAAATAATCCGCCAGATCTATAGTGGGAACACATGCACAAGCTGCAAAGTTAAACGCCAACTCATAAATTATTTAAAATGTACATGCTTTTAAGCTTTCCATTGTATAATCTACAACTCTAGGCTCTGGATAAAAACAAATCTGTATAATTTGATAAATATTTAACTGTTGTAATAAAAGACATTCAAATATAATAAATTTGAACACTAAAACTGATACGGTTGTCGTGCATTGCTCGTGCATACAACAATTTTTTTTTACGTGTTTTGTACATATGAAGTTGCTACGTCTGTGACGTCTTAAATCAAGGTTTCTAGACGTTGACCAGGACTCAATACATGTGACTGTGATACATACTGTAACTGTTTAATTTTCGCTGCTAGTTGTTTTCATTGTTACAGGATTTTATGGTACTTAAGAAGACAAAATTATACGAAAGTCACCGGCACATGAGAAAATTTAACTACAATTATGTATGATGAAATTTCACAATGACTCATGAAATTCAGGAAAATCTCCTGCAAAATTAAATTTATGGATTTAGTGTTACCATGAAGACATGTGATATGCTAAAAATATGTAGCAATGTATACATACATGTACATATATATTGCTTAATTAAAATTATATATAGAGCTGCATGTAGTAAAAATAAAAAACACCATTGCATTTCATGTTAAATGTTCCAGATGAAATAACAACTCTAATATTATAAACATTTTTATGTGAATGTTTATATTTATTATTCAAATTCTCCCCAACACCCTTGTTTAACCTTTTCGCCACCAGTTCCCTCTTTTCATCATAAATTCACAAAACAGTCCCGTTTATATAGTCTTCACTTTCCTTCAAAAGACTGGAACAAAAATAGCCAATTTTTTTAAGTAAAAACTGAATATTGACACAAATGTTGTCTGTTGGCTTTATAATTGGGGTTCATTTTCAAAAATACTGAAGAATATAAGAAAAAAAATGCAGACAAATTTGGACAAGAAAGTCTGGTGGTGGTCCATGACCATGATTGATCGTCATCATGCTAGGTTGAAATAATTAGAACTAGGAAATTTAACGGAGGTACCAATGCAGATGCGAATATAACAACATCCAAATAAAATGGCGCCACATTTCATAGAAATAGTTCAAGGTTCAGTCATCTGCACTGGTAGACCTGTAGTATAATATATACTGACGTCAAAATTTACAACCGGTATAATTTTTACCGTCTATTTTTACCTCCATGGTTTAACTTACCTACTGTAAAAATCAGCACATTAGGGATATAATATCGAACAGCAATGTACAAGCAGTATTCAATATTACAACGTAAACAACCAATGTTTCGCAGATATAACTGTAGATTGAACCCTGCTCGTTCGCGTCAGACGACAATCATCGATGCAAAACTTGTACTTCCGCAAATACTACGCCCCCAATTGACTGCTTTTTTGATGCTTTTGTTTTTGATTCATTATCGCATTTTAATAACGAAGTAGAATGCAATTTCACATTTTTACGTGAAACTACAAATATGTGATCATTAAAGACAAAATGCAATTTGCTATCTGTGTGACCTTTAACCCGGGTCAAATAACTTAACTTTGACCCGATCCAAGCGATCTGGTTGATAATACGTAAAATCTGCACAACATATAACCAGTCTTGTATTATTGGTGGATACTTGTTGTGCTTATGTTGTTTTATTAGACCGTTTTAATGGTTCACCGAGCACTGACGGACCTGACCCTTCAACTTATAGCAACATGTCCCCCAACTTCAATCTTCTTCGCACGTGTCTTGTTTTAGTAGTATTGTTACTGCTACAGTCAACAGCAACTTCTGCTCTGCAGTGCATCATCGAAGACAGTCTTCGCTTTGATTGCTATCCCGAATCTGGAGCCACCAAAGATGCCTGCCAGGCCCGTGGATGTTGTTGGCGACAACCAAACCTTGCACTGGAACAGAAGAAGTATTTCAAAGACAAGTTGGCCACAAATTCTGTCCCAACGTGCTTCTACCCAAAAGATTTCCCCAGCTACTCTATAACAAGTCTTACCGAGACTGACTTTGGGTACACAGCTCATTTGTCAAGAACCACGAAGACGTATTATCCAAAAGATTTGCTAAAACTCAAAATGGACGTTATTTTGGAAACAGACACGAGACTGCATTTCAAGGTATTGTTGTTGTATATTGATGTTTAAAGGGGGCGTTTCCCGTATCGAAACTATTTTACCTGAAGTACGCACCTCTGAAAAAATAAATATGCTTATAAATTAGTATTAAAAAAAAATGTTAGAATGTTTAAGTATATATGTTTTACATCTCTAAACTGTTTGTAGTGTTTGCATTTAATTTATTACTATATGGACGTCATAAAATTGCCACAACAGTTTCAGTGGCGGACCT